CCCCCCACCCTCAAAAAGGGTGAGGAACTTGGGCCACTCCCCTACCTGTGGCCCTCCAGATGTTTTCCAGCGACCTCGCCCCTCAGCCCGGGGTGTGTATGCGGGTGGGGGGGGAACATGCTAAAAACAGCTGGAAAGCCACCGCTGCCCACCTGCTGCAGGAATGCCGGCAACATCAGTGCTGTATGTAACACCCACCTGCTGCAGGAATGCCGGTCTGCATTTTTAACTGCTACCTATAAATCACGCCTGGGCTCCCCTTTGAGAATGGTCTTCACTTGGATGCAGGATTGCCTTTGGATAAGTTGAGGGTTTTAAAAAAATGTTTACAGTACTTTCTTTAAAGTATTCAATTGTATTGAAACTAATTAGCACATGGTTTAATTGGGTTTTTTAATGTTATGTTTTTAATTCTTTTTAATATTCTTTAATAGTCTCAGGTAGCTTTATGGGGAGAAAAGCAATCTATAACTAAAACAAATAAAATATAAAATTGCTGGTGGCCTCCACATTGATGTTTTGGCTTTCTACAAGTGGGACAATTGCTACACAACCACAACAAATGGATAGAAGTTTGGCGTCAGAAACAGCCACGTTAGAACACCGGTGGGGGTGATACTTGAGCCTTTTAGGACGGGCTCTTAGGAGCCTTCAAGGCAGCTGTTGCCAATCAAAGAAACCTAAGAGAGAAAGAGAGATTACCAAGATCCCTCTTCAGTAGATCTGAAAGGTCCAGCCTGTCCTCAGAGGTACGAATTGGGATAAGAGTTTCCTTTCATCCTTGAAGAGCCTTCATTTATATCCTTTGCTTCTGATCTCTGCCTGCAGGCGCACCCGAACCGTCTCTCTGGCCGGATCAAGTCTCCACCCTGTGGCCAACGGAGAGGCTGCAGCTGGAGGCGGGCTCGCCCAGAAGATGCCAGAGGTGGGTTGTCTTCTGCCCAGGCTTTGCCTTGCATGCACATGCCGATAAAACCTCATCGCTAATCAGAATATGTTCCTGAGTCTCCTATGGCTGGCCAGACCCATGTAACAAGTGCACCCTCGGTTCCCCAGAGTGGTGCGAAAACGGCAGCAGGGGCTCAGCTAATGGCAAAAACTTTCCTGCACAAAGTCTGTTATGTTCCCAAATTTTTGTTGTTTAGTCATGTCCGACTCTTCGTGACCCCATGGACCAGAGCACACCGGGCCCTCCTGTCTGCCACTGCCTCCTGGAGTTGAGTCAAAGTCATGCTGGTTGCTTCGATGACCCTGTTCATCCATCTCTTCCTCTGGCGTCGCCTTCTCCTCTTGCCCTCACACTTTCCCAACATCAGGGAGTCTTCTCAAACTCAGGGTTGCCTGCCCGTTGGACTGGAACACCTGCCACCCTGACTCTGGGAGAGGCTGACTGAGGCTAATGGCACTCCAAGGCCAACATTTAAAGGGCTGATGGTTCCGCGGCTCTGCTGCAGGGGGCAGGCAGAACTGTTTCTCTGCATCTCTGCCAGCCTGCCATTTAGAGAACCGCCCTGGAACATTCCATCAGAAGACCCCTTGCAAAGCTACAGATGGTCACATATCAAGGCAACTCCTCCACCTGACCCACACTTTAACGGCCCCACTAAGAACCAGGTCCTTCCTCTGCCACTCCTTGACTAGGTTGTGCCGTGGCCTGCCACACATGCCTCTGCATGCAAAAAAAATGGGGCACAGCTGTGTTCCTCATCCATCCACCTGACGAGGATCCTGTGAGGCTTGTGGCAGGTTTCCTCATGCTAGTTTCAGGCATTTTCCATGAAAGAAGGTGGCAACATTTCTCAGACACCCTGCATGATTGCCTGTGTGCTGCTGCGGAGCGTCCCAAGAAGGTAAGGAGCTAAAAGGGGATGGCAACTCTTGGCGATCCTCCCCCTGGCATAACTGTGTCGCAAAGACAAGGAGCATCCTTTTGATGTGACCTTACAAGGGGCACCGAGCAAGGGAGAAACAGTGCAATCCAACAGTTCTACCATTCCCTGGTCTCACGACAGTGATACGAGACAGAAGCTGGCTTGCTTTAGAGCAGGCTAACTTTAATACAACCCAACCCTAAAAGGTTTTAAAGGGAGGGGAGACCAAGAAGCCACTCCAACAGGTCTTGGCTGGGGGGGCTTAAAAAATTCTGAACTTGGAACACGGCCGGTTGGAGAGACCTCCACTATTCTTCAGCAAAGCAGTAGGGACCTGGCCCATCTGAGAGATGACAAGGAGAGAGATGCGTCATGCCAACCACACCTTTATCGGCTACAGAAATGAAGCCTCATCAGTGGGGACATTGAGGACAACCTCCATCTCCGGAGTACATCTGGAAGAGAGAAGGACGGAAGAAAGAAATCAGGGATTTCCAGACCATCACCACACTGTTTTTTTGCACATATTTCACATTTCTCGACTCCCCGCGGATGCATCATGTTTGTTCACTAAGGCTTCTCCCCATCCCTTGCACCTCTTGATGTGGGCCACGGTCCAAAGAAGACCAAAGCCACTATCATGCCAAGGAGACTGGTCGCCAACCAGGGAGTGTACAGCGATGCCTGGAGAAAAGTGGCCCACTGCATTCACTGCCAGTGACTAAATGAGTCTCTCTGAGGAAGCGCAGAAGTTGAGGAGGGGCACGGAATTTGGAAGCCAAGAGAGTGGGCGTTTCAAAACAAATTTGCTAAGGAATTATCTGAAATCAGATCAGGGCCCAAAGCAGCTTCCTGGTGATGCACGACAACTGTACTACATGCGATCTCATCTCCAGCCTCCACTCTCTCGGACGTGCCATTATTCATAGACTCACAGGATCAAGACGTTGGAAGGGGCCCCCAAAGGCCATCAAGTCCAACTCCCTGTTCAAGGCAGGAGTCCAAGTCAAAGGACCTTAGACAGGGGGTGGTCTATCCCCCATCTTGTAACTGTGTGTTTGGTTTCTTTTTCCTAGGTGCGGTACTTTGCACTTCTCCCTGCTGAATTTCATACTGTTGCTTTCAGCCTAGTGCTCAAGCCTATCTTGATCATTTTGAATTTTGTTTCTGTCTTTCAGGGTATTAGTTATTCTGCCCAGTTTTGTGCCATTCACAAATAGGATCAGCATTCTCTGCACCCCCTGATCCAGGTCATTAATAAAAATGTTGAAGAGCACCGGACCCAAGACTTGAGCCTTGCGGTACCCCACCTGTTACCTTCTCACAGTTTGAAGTGATCTCCTCCCAGTTAGAGAAGGACCCATTAATCCTCACCCTCTAAGTACAAGTCTGTAGCCAATTGTGTATCCACCTGACACTTGATCTATCCAGCCCACACCTAGTTAGCTTGCTTATCAGGATAGCATGGGGCACTTTGTCAAAAGCTTTGCTGAAGTCAAGATATACTACTACAGCATTCCCTCTGTCTATCAGGAAGGCAACTTGATCAAAACATGAGATCCAATTAGTCTGGCAGGATTTGTTCTTGACAAATCCATGTTAGCTTCTAGTTACTACTGCCTTGTTTTCTAGGTGCTTGAAGAATGACCACTTTACGATCTGTTCCAGAATTCTGCCTGAGATTGATAGGCTGGCTGGCCTGTAGTTCCCAGGTTCCTCTTTTTTGCCCTTTTGGAAGATAGGGACAACATCGGCTCTCCTCCCATCCTCTGGCACCTCACCCGTTCCCCATGATTTCAAGAAAATAATGGACAGCGGTTCTGAGAGTCCTTCAGCCGGTTCCTTGAATACTCTTGGACACAGTTCATCTGGCCCTCGGGGATTTCCTTAGAATGAAAGCCCCCTTGGGTCTTTTCTTCCCCCCCCCCGCAGCCCGTTTCATTCTCCAGAGTGAACCCTTTTGCTCACATAATGGAAA